ATGTTATTATAATGGATTTATATCCATTAATGATTTAGACGCATTCCAGAAATCAGCGTACAATTATTAACCTAATGCGCCACTTATCTAGGCACCTGTGTTAAATGCACAAATACACCGGATTATATGATACTACTGCACCTTCCCTTGCTCGTCCATGTCGAAAATGTCATTTATATAGCTACGGCGGATGCATCTGTGTGACTACGGCGGATCAGCGCGTCGCATCTCGCATCGTTTCTTGCTTAGAGCAATATATAGTAAAGTGTAAACCATATTAATGGACATACAGCTTATAACGATAAGCTGACTCCTTGATAAATATGCTGCTCCACCAAGCACATGTGCACTATTGAACAGTACCTTTAGATACCCAATAACATTAATCAGTTCGCTCATTTTTACTTAAGTGTCCCCTAAAAAACACGACAAGTAGCCATCCCATAAAACAGCACAAAGACATATTTACGTATGTGAAAGAAAAAAAGAGGAGAAAGAAGCGATGGTATTTTGTAGTTTTGGGAAAAGGAAGTCGATGATAGATTACTTGCAGTTGGGATGATGTAGCTGTTTTTAACCAAGATGCAAGAATATACAGCTAAATACATCGCTCGACATTTCCCAAAAAGGCACTGCGGATCGTCGTCACATAAACCAAGTAATCCAGTATATAAAGCCGCCGAAAGGTGTTTTCAACTTCTACTGATGATATAAACGGCAGTAGGTGAGTGAAATCTTCCATATCCAGAAAGCTGTCATCGCTACTACTGTGCAGCCACATTTCCTGCAGCAGAATCACCTGATGCTGGAGTTGCTGAAAAGCGACATCAAGAAGGGGGCCTTGAGCCTGTCGAGTTTAAAAGGATGTCTCGGCAGTTGCTGGAAATTGCAGTAGGCAAAAGCAGGTGTTTTTGCAGGGCACCTTTTCGCAGCGGTTGGCATCCGCCTCTTCTACCTCGTCTTGTCTTCACAAGATGTACAACAGTCAACATCTTCATCTTCCATCGCCGCTTCTACTTTCGGGTCGCGGAGGCAGACGCGTCAGACAGTGCTTCCAAC